CTCAGCAAATTCTTCGTCTTTTTTGTTCTTTTTGCCTTTCTGGGCAGGTTCCTTCCAAGCAAGCACGATCTTTATATAGAAACGATTTCTTCTATTTGAAAGACTTTATGTCAAATAAATGTACAGGTCCTGTTTTTTTCCTTTTGCCTGATAAGAAATATGCAAAATATACCGGACAGGTTTTCCCTACACTCTCTTCTATAATATATATATATATATGTCTCATAGGAGTAATGTGGCAACCGCCTCGGCGTGATCTGCTGGAGGTCCTATGACCTCTGGCTTCACCTGCAACACAAAAACGTTGAAGGAATATCTTCTATTTGATTTGACCGCCGAGGAGGTGAACAAAGATATATAATGCTTGATCGACGACAAAGTGCCTGGCTACTTGTAGTAGCTGTCTGGGATTCCTGCCAGGAAATTTTTGGAACGGGAGAAATGAAGGCATTTGTCTATCTATTTGTCTATCAATCTCTCCCTCCCTCCCTATATACATATATATATTACACTGCTTATACAGCGATACAGCGATTGTTCAATCTTAATATTGGTCCCCCTTGCCTTGGGACCAGCGCAGCAAATGCAGGCAAACTTCTGGGCCCTGTAACGAAGGTGGAGCACTGCCTCGATCTGGCTGGATTTGTTTCTCTTGGCTGCCATGCCAGATTCCTTGATCTCTGCAAGCAGCGCTTTGGATGGTAAACAATCCAAATGAGCAAGGCAGCTCTTGGCCCACATCGCTGCAGCCACAGCCGCTGCTTCGTCGTTGGCTGCGAAACTGTGTGTCGACTGTCCCACCTCCAATCTCCATTTCTTCCAGCCACCATGGAATTTCAGCTGTTCTGGTACTCCAAGCATGTCTTGGTCGCTGATTGCTTGAGAAAGAGCAGCCTAAAGGGTTCATGATTTTAACGTCCCCCTATGTTCCATGAACAAACTGGTTATATATATATATATATTTGGCACATGGCGCCCACCATTCTGATAGTTCTGCCTGGAGGTCTTCCTTGGGGCTGATGGAGCTCAAAACAGAGAGAACCACCATTCCCACATTTCCAACAATCATACCATTGCCACAGCCACGGTGCCATTGTGAAGTGTTGTCCAGCTCCACCAAACCCACACCTGCAGCTGCCGCCATGTCCTAACAGGAAATGTCAAATAGAAGATATTGTCCCTCCAATTTGGTCCAATAACAGGGAAGTGGTGACCTTATTTTGGCTTTCACGGGGATGATTTGTAAGACAATCTGATGTAAAACGCCAAGAGCATGTCCAAAGCCCAAAGGTCCTTATGCACAGGGAATCCTGCGAGTGACATCTTCTCTTTTGCTGACAGCCATCTGTTCAAATGCGTAAGCATTATCCTCCGTGTGCTATCAGTGGTGAAGCTGGGCAACTTGTCCTCTGAGCCAGCCATGAACATATACTCTGGATCTTGAGACACGCAAACGGCTCGTATTTGTCGGAGCTCTTTTGGCTGATCTAGCTGTCCGAGATGCTCCAAGTATTTTCTGTAGTTGGCTTGCTCATTGGAGCTGAGCAGCCCCGTCCAATCGGTCATCTCCATTGTTTTGGCTTCCTCAGCAGACATGACACTATTCTGATTGCGGTTCTCCACCATCTCTTGCCGCAGGTCCTTCTCCCACTCGGGACCAATCATCCAGGCTACATGTTGCAATTCCACGGGTCTCATGACACTAGTCAGGTGCTCCACCAAACGCTGGTACACTTCAGCTGGGTCCCGGATCTGGTTGAAGTACTTCTCCAAGATGAAGACATCATACCTTATGTACCAGCAAATGGGTGATTGTTATTTTACCTTCACATCATAATATCTTCTATTTGAAAAGGCGAGTTGTACATGCCAATAATGAAAGCTATCCAATATCTTCTATTTGAAAAAACTAGTTGTACATGCCAATAACGAAAGCTATCAAATATCTTCTATTTGAAATGCTATCACCCTTCTAGACTGGGAGGAAGATGTAAATATGTATTCTATATTAAACACATAGATGAAATCAGTAAGCTTATATGTGTATGGTATTTTGGAAAAGGGCAAAGTCTGCTTAAGCTGGCTTAGGTTCAAGCGCTGTCGGCTGTTTGCTTTCATCGCACAGTTCTCTCCAGTAGTCTGGATACTGGTCAAAAACCGATACCCAAAGTGTCCAAGCTTTGCTGACAAATAGCTGCTTGAGAAACCCCGCACGTTTTCATGGATCAAAGCTGGGGTTTGCTTCCGTCCATGATGAATAGCCCATATGAGCATAAGCTTGTTATGAGGTGAGTTCTCCTTCAGCAATTTCCCATCGTCTTTCTTTCCAAGGGTGGAGTATCCCAAGCACATACTGCCAGTGACGTCCATGATTGTCAAGGGAAAAGAACACCTTGCAGGGATAGGTGCCTTCGCAAATAGAAGATATTGAAATTGTTTTTCTTCTATTTGCTCTTTTCCTGGGAAGGTACTAACTGCTAATTTCTATAGAAAACATCATTTGTGGTCCATGGCTGAGCCCTGTATATATATATATATGTACCAGGCCTGTTCTTGTGCCTGGAGCAAAGACCTTCAGAAAGAAATTGCTTCTTCAGCAAAAACTCCCACAAGTCTTCTGAAGGATTGGAGCTGGCTTGCTCAATCTTTTCTAACTCGATTCGATCCACATCTCGGAGCCTGCGCAGGATATCGATGTGCTGGCATGTATGTGCATCAATTCTATCCAGGCAAGCTTGGCGGGCCTTGACTGCTATCTCGAATTGGTAACTCGAGGAAAACGATTTCCCATCTGTCTCCCTCTTGCCCTTCAACGCAGACTCCAACATCTGGAAGGCTGTCTCTGCGCATCCGTATCCGGAAAACCAGGTTGAGATAGGCAAAGTCTCCATGGATTTCAACCAGCCCAGCTCCCCCTGCTGGTCCAGGTAGTCCACACAGCATTTGGCCCACCGGAACGAGGCCACCAGCTCTTCTGGGGGCCCCATTGCCCACAAGTCAGACAGCTTTGAGAGCTCTTTCTACACACATTATCCCAATTATAATAGAAGACATTGCAGCTATATATCTATGTATCTGGGAGGGTGCCATTTGTACCACTCAAATTTATTGGATTCTAGCTCTATCTATTGTGGTTTCTATCTATTCTACTTGCTGGCTCTGTCTATACTGCCTGCTAGCTCTATATATATATATATATATAAATGCACCTGCCGCCACATGCTTTCTTGGGCCAGGCGGGCGATCAGAACCCCCGAAGACTAAAACAGTAAGCAAGGCCCGGTAGGAAAGTCAAATAGAAGATCATGTTCAAATAGAAGATCCACCCCACCAAGCCACATTCAAATAGAAGATATATATTTTTGAGCAGAAAGTCCAAAATGCAAAAGTAGCTCAAAAGACCAAAAATTTGATCATTTTGATCAAATAATTAATGGGATCTTCTATTTGAATGGTACGGATGGCACCCTCCCAGATGCATTTCAAATAGAAGATATATACCCTCAATTTCTTCTATAATTGAAGTAACTAGTATAACCACCTTGTCTGCCAGTGTTCCAAAGCCACAAGCAGAAAAAGTAAAGTAGAGAACAGTGAAGGAGAAGAGTAAACAAGTGCAATGTAGGGGAACGAAACTGTCCCGCAGCTCTTGGGGAACCCGGTTCCTCCCATGTTTGCGCCTCTATGCCCCGACCACCCTGCAACCTAAGTTGCAGGGACCCCAAAGGCCCTAAAGTTGGGCCCCGAAGCTATAAATAGATAGCCTTTTGTCTTTGGCTCTGTCACTCTGAAAGCGCGTGGATTCTCATTTGGCATTTCCCTTCAGAACGGGTTGCACCATCCAGTTTGAATCACCAACAGACACAAGTCGTTTGCTCGTGGCTGATATGCCATATGTCATGACTTGTCATTCACCATCGTCACCACTTTCAGGACACAGATTCGGATCATGCTTTGCATCCAAATGTTTTGCGTCCAATATCAAGGATGTCACTTGCTTGGGAGAGGAAGTTCTTCGCCACTTGGTGGGTGAGGGGTGGAGCGGTAAGTTGAGCATGCTGGACTTTCAATCCCAAAGACCTCGCCTCACCTCAATTCACTTCGCCTCACTTCTTTTCTCATGATTGGTCACGGTGCGCATGGCTCACCTCAATGGATCAGTGGCCCCGATTGAATGACCGCCCCTGCAAACAATTGGAAATACCAATGATGCGGCCCTTCAATGGATATCCAAACGTGTGGCAAGTCCAGACTTTCATGATCACGCAGCAGGAGTGGAGAGCATTCGAGAATTACAAAGGACAAAGAACAGGAAAAACAATGAGATTGTGTAAAGAACAGAAATTTAGCAAGCAAAACTATATCACATCTCAGTTGAAACCATTGCCTGCAGTTCAAGGTTTTCTGGCTGCAGAGCAGGTGGTGTATACGGATATTGTGGAAAGGAAAGGAAAAAAAAAGGAAGGAAGGACATGTCCAAGGTCGAAAAATTTAGCAAACAAATACAGTATATTTTACACCTGAGAAGGGGGGAACGAAAGCCAGCAGCCACCAGACGAGAGGGTCGTTTGCTGGCTGCCGCCGCAGGGAAGTCGAGTATGGTGGCAATAGCCGAGTATGCTTCCACATGAGTGTCACCAAGCGTCATCCTAAAATATTGCATAGATCCGTGGCTATAACAAGTCCTTAAACAACACCAATCTCTTCACCCCACGAAGTTGCTATCTACACGGGCCCCTTTTCTGATAGCAACTTGTCGCTGCCAACCATCTACTATACTTGCCCCAATACATCCAACCAGACTTCTCTGAAAGGATGACTAGGAGGATGGCAGGAACTATATGCCTCAGCATTGGTGTCACCAACCGTCATCCAAAAATATTGCACAGATCCGTGACTATAACCCATCCTCACACAGCAATCTCTTCACCCCACCAAGTTGCTATCTACACGGGCCCCTTTTCTGATAGGCATTCGTCGCTGCCAACCAACTACCATACTGGCCCCAATACATCCAAGCAGTTCCACTTTGATCCGAAAAGTCGAGCCACTACTGTGAACATAGCCGCACAGCCGCTACTGCACAGCCATTATTGAACCAAGCGTTTTACACTTCAGTCAACCACATTCAAATTGGTATGGGACTTCCAGGGTTGGTGGATAAACTCCTGCACCAGCCACTCTGGGACACGGTTTCGGCCAAGACTGCCCACTTTCTATCTATCTGTCTATCTATCTATCACTACCTACCTATCAAACCAGCTCGCTCTATCTATCTATCTATCTATGATCTATCGATCGATCGATCTATCTATCTATTCTGTACTATCTAGCTGCGCGGCCAAGCCGGAACAACGGTGCACGTGGACGCCGCGACAAGCATCCGCTCGACGGTACAGGTATAGTAGAGACTAGGATGGTGGCTCTGTACATGGGTGCCTGTCTCCACTCCAGTGCTCAATGCCCATTGTCCAAATAGCCTCCACAGCCCTTCATAATGCTAATGATGCACTACTCGGCGTCCATTGCATCACTCGCATCACCAGACCCCATGTTCATTGCTTTTCTGACCTCGCTTTGGAGCGCTCTCCCCAGGCAAGCTCCGGGTTCACCCTGCCTTTTCGCCTCCTACCCCCCCCCACACCCCCTTAACTCACTTCGTTCGGCCTAAAAGCTCAAGCCTAGCCTATCGGCTGGCTGGCTTTCGTAATATATATATATACCTAGGGTCTAGGGCCAAAGAAGGCCTCAGTCAATGAGCCGTTCAAAGACCAATGCCACGTGGCCAACTTACTACTGAAATGGCGCCCTTGCGATCCAACATCACCGCTGTCACAACGAAGGCCAAAAAGAACAGAAAAGCCACCAGGAACCTCAGAAAAAGAACTAGATTGTCGAGCTGGAACGAGAATTGGAGCTCTCAAGCCAGCACTGTGATATGTGAAAGCCTATTGTCAAGGTGCATCTCCCGCATTGCACCGCTAACCAGGGTCTTCAGAAGCACCAGGATCTTTTTCCCTCCAAATGCACTGACCCGCAGCATGTAGATCAACTTCACCTGAGCTTTGAGTGAAGTGACTCGGGTTAGCTGCAAAGTTAAGATGTCAATTGACTGCCAAATGTACCATCCAAGTGGCACTATGCATGAAGAAGCACACCGCGAGCAGCGCCTGACGCGAGAGGAGGACTGGCGGCCATTCTGGGCTCCACCATGCAAAAAGCAACAAAAAGCCGTTGCAGTCCTGCGTCCAGTGAGACATCGCCCTATCACAGCCCTGCACACACTGCACAGAGAGCAGGAAGACCGCTTTCAACAGTATCAGGATCCTCAATGGACATAGCATAGAGCAAACTTCTGCAAAGACCAGCATGTGCAGCGCAATGGGGCTCTTTTGCACAGGGCTTGTCCAAGCTCATGCGAATTGGACGGAAACGGCTTGCAAACAAGCATCAGCTCTGGCATGTTGGTGTTGTGGCTCAGGTCGAACATCTTTGCAGGGTGCCACAATGAATGCAATCCAGAACGCCTCTGTAAGAATGGCTGCCGCACACACGTTTCGACACTGACAGCTTCAAGTGGTTCGAGGGGAAAAAAATATATATATATATATTCTCATTGATTTATATATATATATCCATGCTGTCGACCCATATCCTCTCTTGTTCAGTGTGCAAACAAGAGACGAAAAAATAAGAAAAAATAACAAAGAGTATAAAAAGGCAAAAAATAATGTCGAATGTAGCGGGGCAAGTGTTGTTGCGTGGTGTTGATGTGTTGTAATGCTCACGCTGACCGCTTGTTGAATATGAATCATACACTTTTCTGTATGTACCTGTCTCTGTGATTGAAAAAGCGCAGAGGCTAATCAAAGTCAAGTGGCAGCTCGTGTCCACGACCCAGAGTTCCGGCGATCGTCACGTTCTTCTTGTGCCTGTCACTCACAGAGATTGGAGTGGCGAAAGCAGGAGGGAGCAAGGAAAATGAAACACAAAAACTAACTGCTGGAAGAAGAGGGCTGTGACACCCCGAGCCTAAGCCACTTCCAACAAAGAGAGTAAAGCCACCAGCTGATATTGACCAAATCACCTTGCGTGAAGCGTTGAGTGGAGTTGGTTAAGCTAAACACACACAGCAACTACCCCAAGAACATAAGGAAAAGTACACCACAAATAGGTCACCTTAAAACCAAGTTGCGCAGGAGACCAGCCAAGAGAAAATTTGCAAATCGAGGGAATTGCAAACTGGAGTTTGTACCGATGTCCTGACGTTCAAATCTGAATGTTAAAAAATAGACTAAATATATATATATATATATCCTCCATATTTTGTGGCCTTCCATTTGTCACGTTCCGAATTCCATGAAGACCGTTTTGTCCGACGACTTCGTTGGGCCTGGTTGTTGGAGCTTGTGAGACGCCAGAGTAGTGGACGTCCCGCAGGTGTCAAACCCCAGCAGGCAAAGATTAGCAGGTCCATGAAGTTGAAAATCAATGTGAGACCAAATACCGTGCCTTCAAGCTTTGGCAAAACATGCCACACATAAATATGCAGTATATAATTGCTTTTCAGATTTTTTGCGCTTCCTGTCTTTTCATCACTTCACTCTGCTCTAAGCGGCTTATGAGCTCCATCCACAGGCAATGCACTGCAGCTTTGACTGGCAGTGAGTTAAAAATTTGCCTCGCAACATCAGACCATGTAAGACCGCGAAAAGTGAAGCTGACCCTGCAGGTGTGAGCCATGTCTTTTCTCTCTCTCTCTCTGCAGATTCTAGCCGCTGCACAGCCAGAGTTTCTTCACAAACAATGATGCGTTGTGAGTCTAAGTTGTGCTGCATGTCAAAACTGAGCATGATTCCCGACTGCCAGCAATGGCGTTCTCAACGCATCCGGATTAGAATGCTCATTGCCGCACAAGTAGGCAAGCGTGAAGGCTGGATCATGAAAAATGGTTCAAGAAGAACAGCTGCAGAACTCAAGTTGCAGCACTCTGCAAATGTCCAAACAAGGTGGGAGCGATGACTGTAAAATGAAAAGGTTCGCAGTTAAGCTGCCAGGCTAGGAGCATTCCAAGCAAAACTTGTGTAAGCATAAATGCTGTTGTTGGTCAATGCTATGAACGACATGACTGCGCAAAAATTGAAGCAGTGGAAGAACAAAAGAGCAACAAAATTACCTGGAATGAACCTTTCAACAATGCTTTTATCAAGACAATCTAACATCCCGTTGTCAACGCATATCCCGGACACCTTGTTAATGTCACTCCCGTCAGGTTTGCAACTAAGAACGCAACCGAAATGCCTGCCTCTGATGTGCAGGCCATTGAGAAAAGAGTTGCGTGTTATATAAAACCGGGTTCTGATTGTGTATGTGTGCTACCAGTAAATATAGCTTAGCACCAAGGGTTAGCAAGAAAAGCTTGTTTCAGCAGCTGCGTTTTCTGTCTTGCCTGCTTTCTGTCCAGCACCCAGACGCTCAGATCACAGCGGCAGAATCAATGGTAATCTCAAAACGCGTTTAAAGCCTGACTATTCTATCATCTATTTCCAACCTCCAGCAAGAAAGTAGCAACCCACAAATGGGTTAACAATCGTTGAACAACGTTTTTCCCTTGCCAGGTGGGTGATATCTTTGTTTTTGTTGGCTCAACTGAAGCACCAGCCAAAAATTTTGCTTGCTTATTTTACAATTCATTGTTGTTTACAATCTGAATCTTAATGGTGGGAGGCATGTGGCTTGGGAAGCGGCTGAAGATGATAGATGCGTAACTGATACAGAGGTGGGTGGCGAGGAGCGAAGAGGCACTACATCAAGCTCCAAGAACGGGGCCAGACCAGGAAAAGTGTTGTATAATTGCGGGCATGACTCAGGCGGCAGATCGCGGACAGAGCAGCCGCGCCCTGGAAAGAAGTAGAAGACGAAGAAGAAGAAGAAGAAGAAGAAGGAGGATGGGAGATCGGAGAAGGTGATGAAGCGCAAGAAAAAGACTGGCATGGGGGGGTGGAGGAGACCCTTTATCCAGCAGGAGCGAGGAGGAGGAGAGGATTCAAAGGAAAAGAATGGGAGCAGTCAGAGCGGCACAGACTCAGACAGGTGTCTGGGGGGAATCTTAAATATTGAATCCAAAAACAACATCTCAAAACATGTCTTTGGCCAAATGCTTCCAAGTGCAGGTGGGCATGTCAAGCACCAATCGCCAACCATCACATTAATCTCAACTGAGTATACTCCCCCCATGTGGAGAGAGAACGTGCCAAAACAATGGTGTGGCAAGAGGTTTCACAAGGTGCCAAAAGCACAGTAAATATACCTTGCTTCGCGGGGGGGACCATACACTCCGACTCACTGACATAGAAGTGGAAACCACCCTGTTTGTAGATGAAAATAGTCTTCCCAGGGCCATTTTCCGCTTCGATGTTAGTGAGTCGGAGGGAATACATAAATAAATTGAGTATACATTTATAGACCTCTGTGTGTGTGTGTGCATCTCTCAGGTCTCTCAGGAATAGAGTCGAGATTCTTTTCTGTTAGTGGTGTGCAAGAAGAGAAAAGAAAGACACGAAACAGGTGGCAGTGGCAGAGTTCAAAAGGCTATATAAATCAAGCTGAAGTGGCGAGAGAGATTCGAGGAGAGAAAGCATCAAGGCAAGCTAGCCGCCTTCAAGGAGGGTCCACAGGCTGGCCAGCTGCGTAAAGCCTAAGCCTAAGCCCCTCTGACAGCGAATCTCTGCAGTGATTCGGTGATTCAATCTGGCTGATTGACTTTGTAGCTTTGCCCTTGGCAAAGCTGTCGCAGGTTTCGCTCGCAGCTCAGCATGTGGTTCAAAAAGAATTGGCAAGAACATGCAGGATCTGCGCAAGTTGGCAAATGCGATTACCTCAGTCTCCATGCTTAACTTGACCTTTTTATTGTCACAAATGCTCCCACTACAGGCTTTAAATGCCATACCAACGTGACAGAGTTGGGGATTGGTCAGTTTTCCTGTTTCCCCTGTTGCTTCAACTTTTGACTCAACATCCTTCCGCATGCCTGTCGCACTTGAAAATGTCAGAGCCATCAGTGCAGATCTAGGCCTGTGCACACTTCTGGTAGAAGCCAGAGCCATGAAGATATCGATGTCCAAAATGTTGGGCAAAAGCAAGACGAGAGTCTCCTCACGAGGCACTCCGCACTCTGCCAGGATCAACAAATTGCAAACAAAGCCTCAGGCCCTGGCCACGTCAAAGACTTTTGAACTACGAGCTTGGTGCTCTTGTGGCACCTCGCAACAAAACAACCCTAAGTTTAAAGGCTCTCACAGTACATAATTATGCAAAACTTGCGCCTGCAACAACTTGCCATGCCAGGTAGGTGCATGTCCCAGAGTGGCGTCGTATTTCCACTCAGGCCAGCGGACCAGATTCTGCCAAGCAAAATTGTGACAAACCGAACTGTCACGAGACATCTGCATCGCCTGGCGCGGCCCCAAGCGAGTCATCCGCTGGTCCGGCTTGTATGCACATTGCCTCAAGACGACAGGCTATGCAAAGGTTTTCAGATGTCTAACTTCCTCAGGATCGTTTGATGGCCATGGTGCAGAGTTCGGCCCCAAAGAATGGCTCGAGAGCTGAGGGAATGGTGTCCAGGATTCTCCTGGATTGGCCGTGCCTCAAGTTCGGGGCAGCTTGAAACTACCGTCAAAAAAATGGAGGGTCTTTTTCAGGAGCTGACCAACAGCAACCCCAGCATCACCGCAGCTGCTTCAGGAGCCATCCTTGCACAACGACGTTGATAAGAAACAGGTAAACAATCACAAAAGTAACAGCCTATGACTGATCGCAATCCTGCTTCATCCCTGGTATTCAGCCAAGGCACTGCAGCAGGCTTGCCATGCCTAGGCATGGGCACCACGGGACATGACGGGATGAACAACTCGAGTCCTAAAAATCTCAGGAAATGAGCAAGAGTTCCAGAGCCTAGCCGCAATCCACAGCATTTTCGTGCTGTGCATCTGCGATTGCTTTGTGTTTTGCCACGGCAACTGGAAGCGTAGCAATACGATCCGCAAAGTCCTTCACTTTAAGCAACTTGAATTTGGAATCGAACATTATGCTACAAAAGTGTTCAGAATGTACACTCTCATATTTGCAAACAACGGGATATACCGCATGCTAAATTCAAGCGAGCCCTCTGGGGTAGGCATTGCTCAAGATGAAGACCATCACCATATGCCATAGGTGTTATGCCAAACTATGCAAGGGCTCAGTCTTGTCACGCGAATGAGTTTTCCGTCCTGGGCAGCTTTGCCACTGTGGCTAGACATGAGCGCGAGGTCCTCGCAAAGGTGTTGCACACGAAGCGGTCAAACACGAGTCTAAACGAATTTAAACTTTATACACTAGCCTGAAGACGTTGAACGAGTTTATGGCGTTTTTACCAGCTAGTGTGACGAGCGGAAACGCTTTGAAGTGCAAACTTAATATAAACGCTAGAACCTTCAAAGCCATCTTACCGTCCTCAAAGAATGAGCAATTGTGAAGCCGGACCTGGGCTCCATCCAATGCCTCGAATTGCTCAAAGCTGGCAGCATTGCAAAATATCCTGTCAAAAAAAATGCAATCACTTCTGGCCTGGTATGAGGGCGCGAGCAAGTAGAGCAAATGCTTCGGGAAAAGGCTTCCAGGCTTCACTGCCATCTCTAAAGGAATCTTGCCTGCCAATGGCACTGGAAGCAAAATGCCGTTCGAGTCTGAGTTGGTTCAATTGAAATGTCAAACGTTTTCCCACCTTCTTCTGTGCTTTGCTCCACGGAGGCGCGGCTTCGAATAAGGCTTCGCACAACTTCCTTGAGCAAGTGAGACCCCCGTAGCTTGAATAGAGGTTGAAAGATTTGACAACCACGTGTAGCATCGGAATTCTGGCAAGATCTGGCGGGGGGACATTGGTTGAATTCTGTGGTCAGCTGGCCTCCACATCTGAGTCTTCGTCCATACTTCGCAAAGCCAACCAATGCAGGGCCGTGTATCCTTCCATGTTCTTCACCTGAGTGGCAACGTCACCCCCTCCCCCGAATAGGATCATGAATGGACAATTTTTCCAGGTCACTGAAGGGTCTGCATGCTGCTCCAAGAGCCAGATGGCTGCCTGCGATTGACACATTGTATGCCGTACACACTGCCCTATGCACTGCATACATGCATGTACCTCATGTACCTACAACCAACACATATTCTTCTTCTCCATCGCCCTGGCAAGAGCTTAGCCAACACATACTAGATATGTATATAAATATGTATATATATCAACTGTATATATACATATGTGTGTGGGTCTATTTATATACAATCACGTTAGGCCGCTACTGATTGTCCTTAAGTTCGCTCCACATTTTAGTTCACAAAAGTTGAAAATAATCCGTCTCCATGTCTCCACAGCTTAAACACCCTCCCAAGGCCCCATGCCATACCCAGAGCCCGGAGCTGAGCTTGCCTTTAAAAAGTTTAGTCTCCAAAAGCAAACGAAAAATACAAAAAAGAAACGTGCTCCCCACCCTCCCTTCCTTTCCAAGTCTCCTTTTACTGCAATTCCTGCCCGCGCTCAAGTGTCCAGGGGTCGCCGCAACGATTTGCAATGTTCGAGCAGCTTGCCAACGGGTTGCTATGAGCGGCCTGTCCTGGCTTGAGGTGTGGTTCTTGCCAATTGCGCAAAACTGGTGCCCTTAAGCATGAACATTTATGAAGAATGCAACCTGAGGTCTTGGACGGGCCGGCCATCCAGGAACCATCCTTCAGACCCTCATCCAGGAAACCTTCTTGCAGACCTTGGCTTTTTGCAAACTAGGTGAACGGCTTGAGCCAAGATTGGCTCAAGCCTTTTCCTCTGTCTGGCGCCGGATCGCCTTGACAGAAGAGAGGTGGCCACATGTGGCAACCCTCTCCCTTGCGCGCTTCGTCCAACGGTGTTGGAGTTGAAGGTGTCTTGGGATGTCATCAGGCCAAACGGAGGTGTCTGGCGGTGCACAGGTCACGCACTCCCTGCGGGGGTAGATTTATGATCAAAAAACCCTAGATAAGACAATAAATCGAAGCTCGTTTACATAAAAAATCAAAAACTGTCCAAAGTCAAACAAAAAGTCCAACCAAAGCTCAAACTCTAAATCGAAAGTCCAACCAAAGCTTGATGGTCAAAAAAAGTCCAAGCAAAAGTCCAATCAAAGCTGAACAGTCCAAGCCAAAGTCCAATGGAAGCTCATATGTCCAAACAAACGTCAAAAAATATTCGATTGAGACTTTTGATTGGACTATGGAGCTTTCATTGGACTTTTGCTTGGGCTATTAAGCTTCCATTGGACTCTTCCTGGAACAGGTGAGCTTTCATTGGACTTTTGCTTGGACTATTAAGCTTTCATTGGACTTTTGCTTGGACAGTTGAGCTTTCATTGGACTTTTGCTTGGACTATTGAGCTTTCATTAACCTTCTCCTTGAACTGTTGAGCTTTCATTGGACTTTTGCTCGGGCTATTGAGCTTTCATTGGACTGCTTGGACTGTTGAGCTTTCATTGGACTTTCGCTTGGACTGTTGAGCTTTCATTGGACTTTCCCTTGGACTGTTGAGCTTTCATTGGACTTTTGCTTGGACTATTAAGCTTTCATTGGACTCTTCCTGGAACAGTTGAGCTTTCATTGGACTTTTGCTTGGACAGTTGAGCTTTCATTGG